AGAAGTGGGGGATCATGGGAATTCAAATCTGTAGTTGTTTTCACACTGGACTATGAACTCTGGACTATGTCCATGGAATCAGGCCCAGACTTTGTCCAGATTTGCCCTTTCTCACATGTAGCACACAACAGGAGGTAGTCTGTGTCAGACATGTTCTCACCTACTGGAAATACTGCCCTGGGTTTATGTGAGGAGGGGAGTGCCTGGGTAGAGCACGCAGGAGGTGGGACATGACGGAGTCACGTGGCTGGTTTGTAATTTGGTCATAAATGACTGCGTATCTTGCCGTTCCATAAATTTGTCTGACGATTCTGGTGCTGGCTCTTAATGACAGAAGTTGTGAGAATTACGTCATGTCTCCAGTTTGACATTTTCATTGACATCTTCATTGTAAATGACCATTTTTCTAAGTGTCAGGGTTCTGGCTAAGAGAGGACCCAAATGCAGACACAAAGATGGGGTTAGGTGACAAGACAGCTTCTCGGGAACTGGCATCACTTGTGGGGACCAGCTGCTGATCCCACAACATAGTTTGTCAAATTTTACAAAAATTATGCAGTGTAAATTTAGAGCAAGTGTCAGCTTTGGTTAAGGTTAGGGTAAGTCCCCAGGAAATGAATGTCAGGCAGTGTAGGGACCCGGTAGGTGACAAAAACAAGAAGAAGCTTTATTTTATTGTAACACGTACAACAAAATTTTGCTTGGAGCCGAGGAGCCCCAGGCCACTGCGTGCATACGCGCTGCCGTCACAGGCAACTTGGGGGTTTTAGTGTCTTGCCCGAGGACACTTCAACATGTGGACTGCAGGCACTGAGGTTCTAACCTGCAACCTTCCGGTTGGGAGCTGACTGCTCTACCCACTACACCACTGTCCCCCCAACAATATATATGTGTTGTGTGCGCTTTGGGTTCATTGCTATTTTAAAACCAAATGTGGCCATATGAGTTCATGTTTCCTGCTGCTGACATCATAACAAGAGAGGAAGAGAAGGAAGACAGGAAGGAAAGAATGAGGAAAAGGAAGTAGAGGGAATAAAGGGGATGAACAGAAGAGGTGAAACACAGGAGGACAAAGACAATATGAAGAATGGTGCTGGGTTGTTTCACAGTTTACAGCTTTTTAAAATTAATTTTTGCTTATTTTTAACCCGATTTACTTCTTTATGTTTGTTCTTCAAATGCTCTGAAATTCCAACCCAGAAACAGGATTTTTGTTGGTATGAAAAGAGGAGAAGAGGATAGAGGAGATCTGGCAGTTAGATAGGTGAGAGGTGATGAAGGGGTTAGAAGGGGAAGAGAGGGAGGGAGGAAATGAAACAGGATGGGAGGAAAGATAGATGGAGTAAAGGAGTTTAAAGGAGTGCAAAAGTTCAGAAGAGGTTAAAAGGGGGAGGAGAGAAAGGGGGGATTAAGAGAGAGGAGGAGTGAATGGCTGGAGTTAAAAAAGGGAGACAGTGAGGAATTTAAGGAAGCAGAGAAGCCTCCCTGGCACGGATACAGAACAATAAACAAAACACCAACTCCAGTCCATAGGGATTTATTAACCTAAAACTCTTAAATATGCTCCTAAAATGTGAGGGTCAGAGATCACGTCAGGAATTCTTTGTGTGTTTACACAGCTCTATGTGGTGTCTAAATATAACCAGGAACTTGAATGCACCGCTGCTGGTTCCTGAACACAAGCAGACAGCAAATCCAGTACAGAACATATCAGAAGTAACATTTTAACCTGACAACTCATTCAAACATCACTTTTTAAATTGACTTTGGTCCATCCAGCCTGCCTGTAGATGCTGCAGCTCTCATAACAGCCGCAGTATAAAAGTCTGGTCAATGGCAAATATTTTGTTGTTTTTCATTGTATATTGTTACATATCTCTGTCATTTTAACTTCACCAACTATAGCCATTTCACCATGAAATGGAATGACCTCCCCTACAACTTAAACTAAAGTAAACATTATAACTGTCTGAATATCTGTCTGCTTGTATGTTCCTCCTTGTCTTTAATTCTTCCTTTACCTGCCTTTTGGTCAGACCTGCAGACATCCAGGTGTCAGCGGGACTCATCCCTCCTCAGCCACTCCAGGACAGTCTGAACACTATCCAAGGTGAGTACAGTAATTTTAAATTGTCAAACTTAGACCTCTTTAAATCAAGACAAACCTAATTGTTTTCTCCTAGCACTATAGTTCCTCTTTGAATTCTATCTCTGACTATTCCTTGTGTTCTGATGCTAAACCCAGGCTCCACCTACACTCCCGTCACCCGCAGAGAGAGACAGAGGAACAGCGAACGCCATCGAGCCCACAGCACCGCCACATTGGCAGCCTCTGTTGGCCTGCCCTGCCCCTTCTCCCCACCTGGGACTCAGGAAGGAAATAGCACTGAGTGGCAAGCCAGCGAGAGGCTGAGCCTGGCCCATCTGGATGCCATCGTCTTCTCAGGCATCCAGCAAACTACCACATGTGATGGCGATGGCAGTGAGGGTGTGGCCAATAATGGTGCCAGCCTCACTGAGACCCAGGTGACAGATAGACAGACGAGACACAGTTTGAGTGACCCCAGCCCATTAGAAGGCACTGAGAAGGACAGGTACAGAGGGAGAGCCTACAGCTTTGAGATGAAAGGTGGGCATTCCACCAACCAAGTTTCCCCAGTGACACCAGTACCCCTGCCCCATTTCCAGCTTGCAGCACCACAAAACAACAAGAGCACCACATCATTTCCTCCCCCATCTATCCGCCACCTGTCCTCACTGCGAATCTCTGAGTCCAGCCTCCTCAGCTCTCTTGACAACCCGAAACCACTAGAATCTTCCACGGGCATGTGGCAGGAGGACTGTGATGAGGTCTTCCTCCAAGATCCCCCTCCTCCATCACCTCCTCCTCCAATCAAAGAGTCAAGCATCATGGAGAATTTCCCTCCTCCTGTTGATTCTGAGCAAGAAACTGGACACAAGACAAGGTTTGTTGTCCAATATTTTTATAGTTAAACCTAAATGTCTGCAGATCTCACTCTACCTTTAAATATTACCATCATTGATCTTTTTAAAATTATCTACTGGGCTGTTCTATTTTTCCATGTCTCTATCCTGTATTCAGGTCTAGTTCGGAATTCTTAAACAACTCCAGCATTCCCAAGAGGAAGTCATCCCTCCCCTCCCCTCCATTGTCCCCTTCCTCTTCCACCTTTCCTTCTCCTGTGCCTAGCCTACTTCCTTACCTGAAGCCGCAGCCCTCCACCATCACCACATCTACCACAGCTGAGGACAGCCTAGGTCTTGAGTACCAGCCCCTGCCCAAGAGGGAAAAGACATCAGAGGAGCTGCAGGTGGAGATGCTGGCCCGGCAGCTGGTGGGTACCTGGAGTCAGCATTTACCTTGAACGAATGTTGCTGTACCTTTGTCCACATAATTTTGATGCTATACCTTGGTTGGTGTATCTATTGGTGGATTTCAGTCCAGCTGTTTTTATGTGGATTTTCAAATAACAGAAATTCTATGAAAGTTTTGAAATGTAGCAATTCTCTCTTGCCTGAGATGGAAATGTTGGTGTAACAGTAAAATCAAAATGCAGCTAAGTGCAAGAATCACTGTGGCAGATGAAAACAAATCTATATGGGCTGGTGAGGAGTATTATGTTCCTCGGATGGAAACATGAAATTACCAGAAATACTATGTTTATCCAGTGACTGCATATAAAAACTAGACAAACTCACCAAGACGTCAGCCATTGGTTTTCTGAAGAGCAGTTTTGAAGTCTGGCCATCGCCATATTTGGCAGTGCTTCACTCCGCCTGCTAGGTCTAATCCAAAAATGGGCAAAAAGGCAGAGCGTGAGTGGAACCCGCTAGACAACTAGCGGCCACC